AAAAAAAAAAAAAAAACAATGATTACTTGTTATGTTTGATAAAAGTGCATTTGCATTGATATAGTACGTGAAATTATTATCGTTGGGTAAAAAATGAGTGTTATCAGTTGTGAAAAATTGTCATTTAAAATATTTATACAAGGTCCTTTCAGAAAGAGGGATTATTATTAATATAATATAAACTTTACCAGCATATTCTATAAGTAAAAATAAAATTAAAAGATATCATATAACAAAAATAATGTTTCATTACAAAGTTAATATGAAATAATAGAAAATTGCAGAGGAATTCTTTCTTAATTTATCTTGTTCTTTTGCGTAAGAAGCATTCCTTTTTTTTTTATAATTTATATAAAATGTCTTTTGAACAAACTATGTAATTTAAATTATTTTCTTCTTTCATTTGTTATTCACCTTGCTAAATCTTACAAATTTTTAATTTATTAATTTGACAATTTATTTAACAACATATTTAATATTTAATAATTTTGTTCATAATACATCCGTTTGAAATTTTTTCATACGTCAAATTCTTTCAATGCGAAATCGTGATCGATAATGTTAGTTGAAAATAATATATTTTGTTCTGAAATAATTATTTTCATATTTTATGTATCATTGTGATAATATTGTTAACAGAAATTACAATTTTTACATACATTACGTATGTATCTTTTCGGAAGTATAAACAAATTTAAATATATTTACAAAGTCGTCTTTCGTTTAAATAAATTTTCTTTTTATGTTTTAAAGAATTTTTTTTCATTAAAGAATTGATGCATTGCATATATAATATTTCTTATATTTTTTGTCAAATATAATTTAATATGTCAAATATTAATAAGTTGTGTTAATTTGTTAAATATTAAATAATATTAATGATTAAATAATATTAAATTTTTAAACAAGATCCTATATATTTGACTACTGGATTATAATAATATTATATTATAATAATATTATAAATCCAAATCCAAGTGATGAATTCTACTATACAACTATCATGAATAAAATAAAGTAAACAAAATACGTTCTTATGATTATTATTAGAATTGCAATTAGAATAAATCTTATTTACTTCATTGTACGCGAGACAATTTTTTTTCTATTTAAGTATACATATATATTTTTAATAAATAAGGAACATTGTTAATATTTTAAAAATTGTCCGATTATAAATTAATGAAGATCCATAAATGTATAAAATCTTTCTTGAAATATCTCTTAAAGTATCTATATTTGAAATATTTAAAATTTGACGGATTTATATACCTAATTGTACATGAATAAAAATATAGATTCCGCAAAAATTACAAGAATATTTAAACAATCTATCTCATTGTTTAATTTTAATACTTATATGTTTAAGATGGTTATTTATGTGTATTCATGGTTATTCACTGTATATTAATTTTTTCACTAAAAATATACATGTTTGTAGTAAATATCTTGTTAGCTTCAAACTTCTTAATTCATTCCAAGTTTTATTAATATAATCGTTAGACTGTCGATTTTTATGCAATTTCATATTTTTGCGAATACAATTAATGAAATGGTCCCTAAGTAGAAATTTGTTTTTACCTTCGCGATATTTTATATATTTTTACACATAGTGTGCACTCGCTACATTTTTGCATTTTTAAATGCATAAAAATCCGCAGTCTAATAATCATAATAATCGTTCTTCACTATAGTGTTGATGGAATTTTAAAATATTTTATATAGCACACGTAATATAAAAATTTTTCTATATTAAATATTCGGACTCTGTGAGTCATTGTATATATGAAGTTATCGAGATACAATAATTTACATAATTGGAATGTATAATTTACATAATTTACATAATAGGAATCTATTAATTCTCCTCATGACCTATGAATACTTAAATGTGATTCTAATAGAAGTTTATGTTCACATAAATTAATTAAATACTGTCAGAAGTTCATTTAATAGGGTAATAACTAAAATTTAGTCCATATAAATAGAATGTATATAAACGAAGTACTGTTATAGATTACTAATGATTCAGTTGAGACCATAAATTAATTTTTGTTTAAAAATTTTTATCAATTACAATATGTCGATATTTTAAAATTATCCTTTATAAAAAGCATATTTTATATGTATTTTATATAAAAAAATATTTTAAATTGTCTTTTATAAAAAGTATAAAATAATCAAGCAATGGAAAATTTGTCATAATGTATGATATGATGAAATAATCACCGTGTTAATTTTTGTATTAGACATATATATCATGTAACATTTACTGTTAATAAAATATTTAATAACTAGACAATGGATTTTTGTGCATTTATAAGGAATTTTAAAGTGCCAAGTTGCACAGACTGTACACAATATAGAAAAATATATAAAATATCCAACAAGTATAATGCTTTCTGTAATATTTATTATGTAAACTTTTTATTCGTGATTCTAATTTTTCAATTAAATCTTAAACGTATGATTTTGCATAAAAATCCGCAGTCTACTAATAATAATTAGATCTGATACGGATAACATTGATCTGCTGAAAGATAATGGGCATTAAATTGTAAATTATGCACAGCGTATGGTTTTAGACACAACATATTGATCATACATTATCGTTTAAAAATATGTAGATACTTATTTATTTTTGTAAACGTTTTATTTCAGTAAAAAAATTATAAATCTATGAAATTCCTTTATCTTTTACGATCTTCATATTTCCATATAACAGAATATTATAACTTATCTAAATTAATTTTTGAAAGTGAATAAACAATAATAAAACTAATATTTGTAATTCTGAAATATTATATAACTGTTTGCTTGATATTATATCCTTTACATTCCTTTATGTTATATCCTTTATATTCACAGTTAAATTAATTCTCAAATTGTATTGTTGAATTATAGATGATCATAGTAATTTATCTCAAACCATTAAAATTAAGAATACTTGATTTTATTTTACACATTATCTACAATCGAATTTAGTTGATAAAAATAAATTAAACTTAAAAATTCTGAAATTAAATAATTTATAATTGTAAATTTTAATGGTCATTATTGAACTCATAATAGATACCAGTTAAGTATTAAGAAGAATTTTTTAAACTAATATCTAATTTTAATATGAAAAGTAATATGTATATAAAAAATGTATACTATAGTAATATAGTAAATATTAAACAATAAAATAATATTTCAATTACAAGGGTAGATTATAGTAATAATAAATAATAAAACATATTACTATTTCATTGATTTAAATTTTGAGTTCCTCTGATTTTCTCGAAACGCTGTGTATTATATCATTCACAGATAATCGATTCCATAACTGCAATATTATTTTAATTCATTTCAAAGTTTTATTAGAGAAATGAATTATCTTCCCATTATCTTCAAGAAGTGACAACGCTTCGAAAGTTTATTGGCATTCAATACGAATTATGATCGTTACCACGTCCGTCGCCGTGCTGTACTGATTGTGCTGGAGGGTCTCCAAGGCCATCCAACGAATAGGTCTGTTCTCGTTATCACCGAGACAATGATAATCCTGGGGGAAGAGATCTCGCGCCAAAGCCGTATCAGCCAATCGCACGCGAAGACTGCTTGGCTCGATCAAACAGTTTCTGGCAGCGATATCCCTGAAACGATGTGGCTGGTTAAACAGGATGTTTCAAACCATTTTTTCACTTTTTTGAATTTCATTCTATGATATAAACCTTTACCTACGAGTCGATAGATCGGCTTCGCAATTTTTGCCTTATTTTAATACTTTGAATATTTTCTGAAAAATTTCAATATTTTGGCCTCTCTTATTTTTCTATCGTTTCTATTGAGAAACAGTATATACGTTTCACCGAGATTTTTACACATTTTGTTTCTTTGACAGTGTTTTGTCATCCAAGTGATATATAGAAAAATTGTAGGATACTAAAAAAGTTAGAGATCATAGATGTGAATAAAATATTATAACATACATGTCTAGTATGTGAAACACGTATTAAGAAACTAAGGATTTGTATTTTCAATTCTTAATTATCATTCTATCATAGATAAGAGCGTAAATTGCTTAATTTCAGAGATTTAATGTTATACATTAATTTTTCTATATATTTTGCTTTTTTATATGAAATCATGTTTTATATAAAATTACTAAATACGAAATATAAATTCTGATCAAAATCATTGCGATTATTTATAACGCAACTATAAATGATTAATGCATGTGCACACGTATATTAAGTAATTAAGAATCCGCATTCATAACCGATTTATATTGTTCAATGTGGATGACATCGCAACAAATTGCTTAATTTTGTCTAAAAATTGTTTTATATGATAAACAACAAATATTTATCAATCTCTCTTAAATGATTGAAGAAAATGACTTTAATTTCCAGAGATTACGAATAAAATTAGACAAAAAATTTACATGTTACAATTACAAATAAAATAGAATATAACAAATTTAAATTCAATTAATTCAACAAATGTAATAGTATAAATCGTTATTTGCAAAACGAAATATTATCAAAAATTACATTATTTGATTATTGTGTAAAATGTATATAAAAAATAATAATAAATATGTAATTATGTAATATTACATTTATTTATAAAACTTTATAATTTCTTAAAACAATGTTCCTAAATAATATGCAATTATTATTTTCCCTCGTGCACTAAAGCTACAATCCATTGATAACAAACATATTCCCGTATTCAACTGCCGTGTGAAAACATTGCTTTATAATTCCACTTGAGAAGCAGAACTCATTTACACGCTGTTTGCATAATTTACACCTACTTGCAACCAGTGGCATTTGTGTATCTTAGTCACTTTCTGTGACAGCAATTCAGTTAACGTTCTAATAAATTCTAGCGAATAGAGAAATAGATGCAATCACCTGTGCAGCAGCCCTCGACCGTGCAAGAATGCCCCTGCTCTGGCAACCTGTGCGCCAACGTGCACCAAATCCCTGGTTCCAGGATGATGATTCCCGTCGGTAAGGTACAGCTTCAAATTCAATTCGCCCGGCGTACTCGTGTATGCCAATAATGGACAAGAACTATCGAGGCAAGCAGCGGCGAGAGAAGCTATGTTTGCATGCACTAATCCAGCTAGCTGTGAGCCCTCGACCACCAGCAAAGAGGCTTGATAAGCTGATGCCACTTCTGAAACGATTAAGTGATTTATTTCTTTGATAATCCATTATATAATATTCCTTTTTTCCTTCATAACATTGTTAATGCGTTTAATCAATAAATAAAGTAAAATTAGAAGATATTTAAGATTTTGGTTGTTTTTAAATAGGAAATATTTGCTTTGCAATGGGTTTTGTTTAAATATTTTTCTTTTCTTGCTTTATTTTGTGAATCAGCAGTAGATACGTAATTCCCTACCTTATCGCGTGTTGTTAGATTAGGAAAGCACAATTTTTTGTTGAAATTTGAATGTAATTGAATAATATTTTTAATATTCTTTTTTTTATACTGTTATTAATATAATTCTCTGAAATTGTGAATATACATAAATATAAATATATATATGTGTGTGTGAATACGTGTAAATATAAAATTGGACTGTGATACTTGATGTTTTAATATATAATTGATAAATGAAGCAAAATATTTTTCTTCTTTGACTTATGTTAGATTTAAAATCTTATAATTTTATAATCTTTATAATCTTTAATTTGATATAAAAGGAAAATAAAAGATATAAAAATTCTAACTACAAGTCCAATCATCTAATTTCATCAAAATTTCTTAATTCTGATTGTATATACTATTTGATCATTAAATCCCTTCAAAAATTTTATAATTAATTTAAAAAATTAAAAAGAAAAGTGCTAATTTGTTTCTCAAATCAATGATTACCTTAACGCATTGTAATAATTAGACTGTGAATACACTTTTATATTTTTATGAACATAAATAAAAATATTAATTTGAAATATTATGATAAATATTATAATAAATACTTTACTCTCAATATTTTATATATTTTGCACATTATATTTATTTTATAGATTTTTGAAACCTTAAAATTTCTAAAAAATTTGCACAATTGCAACATTCGCAATTATTAGTCATTATTGTCTCTAAAGTCTAATATCACGCCTATTTAACATGACATTAACAGAATCAATACTAGTGATGGAACTAAGTTCAATACATTGTAAACTTATAAATTCAATAACCAAGATTTATTTTATAGTACTTGCAAAGTATTCGATTTTTACAAAGTACTTATTTGCAAGTTTCAAAAATGTACTTTCAAGTACTTCAATATTAGAATGAATTGAACTTTTTGGAAGCATTAATCGAACCATGAAAGTCAGAAAAGCACTATAAAGCTTAAATTTTTGTTTAACGTTTGTACTTATTGCAGTTATTTCAATAATAATGAAAAAATTTAATATATAGAATTTTATTAATAACCAAAAAAAAAAAAAAAAGAAAAAAGAAAATGATTTAAAGAAAATAGACAATTTCTGATAATGTATTTATAAATATTCAAAACTAAATATTGGCTAGTATTCGTTTCTACATACTTGAGAGTACGTATTTTTTTTATTTCTCAGAAAACTAATAAGAGAGGGATTTTTCAATATACTTGAAAAAATTGTTCGTT